GAAATCTGTTTTGTCAGTTTCTGTTTTCCACAAGTCTGTTTTGCCTTTGAACCAATAATGAAGAAATTACTCTCTACTGCACTGTGAGCAGCAAAACTAAGTATGTCTCTTTCAGTTACAGGTACATTTCTCAGACAACAATGGGGATTTCTCTTAGTTTTTGCTTTGTTTTCCTGCTGTCCATGTAAGGAATCCTTTTTACTCACACCTGTTGTTTAAGTTTGACAGGCACCAAGTCGAGTAGGAACTTGCTAGCTTTCATTACACCACTTGGAAAAAGTGTTGTCATCCATTAAGTAGAGCACAGCTTCCCCTGCAGCACCAGTACGCCTTGAGCTTGATTGTCTTCTGATGCATGCGTCAGTATCTTGCTTACCTTCGCACTACAACGTTGTTTTTATTGGAGATGAAGGGATGAGAAGAATCCAAGCTGAGTGGCAGACATTAAAATGAGTATGGAGGTAGTAAAACTGTTCTACTGAGTAATGTTAATCACACTACAGTATAAGTTAAGTGTGTGTATTCGTACCTGACATACACTGGAAAGCATATATAGCATCTAAAACATGGAAATGGTTTTGGTTTGGTTCAAGGTCAAAGCAGTAAATGATAGTATTTCCAACTCAAGGAGCTGATGGGTTGTTTCAAGTGGCAAGAGGGACAAACTGTCCCACACTTGGTGCTGACTGCAGAAGTCGGTCATCCCAGGCAGTCGTCTTCCCTCAGTTTTTCAATTTTTCTTAGTTGTTTCCCGTAGGCAAAGGTACAAAAGAAATACCTACTTTAGTTTTTGCAGTGATCCTATTGCAGCACAAATCTGTGTAAATGCTATTAACTCAATTCACTCTTATTTTACGTGCATGGAAAGGGTATAGAGTAGAATTTCTCCTTACTGATCTGGGTAGCATATAGTAATTGTGCATTCACACCTCTTTAGAGAGGCTCTTTCGAAACATGCCTCAGCTTGGGAGCAATAATACGAAGCAAAGGAATGGAGTTTGTAGTATGCATGGACTCGCTCCTATAAGGATACGCAAGCCCAGTGCCAAATGCCTCCACCCAAATATCCGAGATGTTACTAGCCTGATAAGAGGCCTTTTCCTGTTTTTTACTAGCCTGTGCAGTTTCTCAAGCTATCTGTGCTCAGTTCTCACGAATAGCATTTTTAGTGGCACAGAACGTGTCTGCAGAGCAGAACGAATAGTTGCAGCACAGGTCGGTGAAACCACACTAGAGCGGGTAGTCGTAGCAGTGAACGTGTGGAGAATGGGCTGGCTGGCAACCAGAACATAGAGTTGGATGGGTACTTGGTGTGGACTGCAGAGAAGCATTTGCTTATGACAGTAGTTATCAGTAAAAACAGGTGCTGGAGCCTCAAAGAACGTTGAATGGTTTGGAAAAATTGCTAGAAGAATAGACACGGAGAAGGCTCTAGAGTCGTCTCGCTAGAAGGACGGATACAGACAGTAAATGCAAATCAGGACTGTGTTCCTCACACAGCAAAAGATCCATATACGAAATCTGGGAAGGCGTTTTTCCTCCTGCTGCCGTACCTGTCGAAGCAAACGTGCCTGTTGTTTGTCCTCCTGACTGGCAGGCGCCTGCTGTGGAGGTGGCACTTCGGGACGACTGAGTGCCGTTTCCTGGGCTGCTTCTCCCTGAGTAAGTCAGTCAGTCTCAGGCAGGCAGAGTTCTCACTGCCGCATTTCTTGACATGTGATTGTCTGAGACTTGTTCATTCTGTTGAGCTTTATATTTTGGGGAGAAAGGGTGGAAAGAGAGGTAGTTATTGCCCAGTTGTGAGGAGCTCTTCCTAGAGCAAGCCAGGAAGCTTTCCTAAGCACCTGCACTTCCTAGTTGTATCTTTGGGCATATGACCATAACTGCTACCTTATGGTTAAAAGGTTTAATCTTTTAGGTGTTTTACACCTTCTGTGCTATGTCACTTTGGTTTGAAACAACATACTTCAGTCTGAGAAGATACACTTGGAGAAGTTAAAGACAGTGATGCTGTCTGGTACCTATTGCATTGTGTGAGTAGTGGTTACACAGGCCGTCATCTTCCATGGTGTATTGTACCTCTGCCCACTGAGTGGGGAGGAAAGCTGGAGAGGGTGGAGAGGTTATACACAGCAGCTGAATTCTAATCTTAAATGTGAAGCCATTCTCAGGGACAGAACTGTTCAGTCCTCTCAGTGCTCAGTTTTCTACCAGACGAGATTGTTGCCTGGAGAATAACTTGAGGAAAAACAGGTAATAATTCTGTATGGATTTTTTTTGGGGGGGTGGTTTTCTTTTTTTAAACCGATGTATTTCACAAATGTTCCTTTATTACTTACTTTCAGCTGGTGATAATTATTTTTCCTCTGAGTCCCAAGAGGTTTAAAGTAGGCCCTGAATTAGAAGTATGAGGCAATCACGACTGAGAAAGCGGAGTTTCAAAACTAATGTTTTTGCAAAGAAGAAGAAATGTGTGCACCCTTTGGCTGGTCTGTAACCGCAGCATGGTCTTTTCAGCATTCCTTCCCCTGACATGCAAAATGTTTCCCGAACTCCCATCCTCTTGTTGCTAGGATCTGTCAGACTGCATGCAACCTGTAAAACTAAGGCAGCAACAATGTGGCACTATGAAACTCTCATTTTCTATTTTGTTGAAAGTAAACAGTCCCCAGGTGACACATCCTGAGTACGCAGGAAAATGGAGTAAATTAAGAAGAGTTATGTTCCTTTTATGGTGGGGGTGTGTGTGTGTATTGGGGAGGGGCGGGGGAAATGAAGTTGCCAGCCTGTGGTGCTGCACAAGTATCCCGGTGTGAGCTGCGGCTTCAGCCCTGCTGGACTCCAAGCCCAGCCCGAGGACCACCGCTGCTGCCCAGTCTGCTCACGGCTGATGGGGACAGGGATGTGGACGTGGACCTGGATGTGGCACGACTGCGCTGCTGGTGCCACCACAACAGGATCAGTGTTCCTGTGCAGTGTAGAAAAAGTACATGATGTTGAGCTAAATTCCTCAAGAAGGTAAGATGAACAAATGTCTGAATGGTAGTTCAAGCAGAGCTGGTGATAAACACGTTGATCCCAGTGTGTAAAGACCCACTGGTTTTAATGCTGCTTTTTCTCCTGGTCCAGATGTCTTACATGTTTGAAGATTTGTTCTTGATTAATGTTTGTCAGCTGACTTGTTAGAGAATTCACCCACCTGTGACCTTAATTTAGGAGAAAAAAAACCCCACAACAACTCAGGGAATATTTTAATCTTAAAATAAAGCTGTGAGAATGCACCTATTTATGTACCTTTTGGGGAAGGGATGCCTGGTTTTTGGCTGGATCTAGCTGTCCTAGCCTAGAATGGTGTTGGTGCACTTTGGTAGGGTTAGCAGTGTCACTGAGATGGTACGTACACTGTAATCATGCGGGTGTTACCTTATTTAATAAGCAAATAATAACACTCTGAGAACTGCTGTACTGACCAAGACCAAACAAAAAGTATACGTGGGTGAGGAATCTGTAATAACAACTCAGTTCGGTGAGATTGTGGCAGCCGAGAGATCCCGCTGCGGTGGAACCGCCCGTTCTGCCAACAACTGGTAAAACTGATAAGGTTTCTTGCTGCCATCTGCTGTGCGAATGCCTCAAGCCAGAGGGGAACAAAAATCCTGTCTGGCTTCTCAAACAAATTAAACTGCTTCTGAGAAGAGAAAGCAGAGCTTGATTTCTCTCCACACGTAATATTCCCTCTATTTGTCATCTTTTCAAATTCAGAAAGCAATTGGTTTTTTAAAATCTTTACTGAGAGTAGAAACATCAGGTGTGATCAAGGGAATCCTTATCCCTTTACTCTTTGCATTTTCCAGCAGCATCAGTTTCCCCTCTATCTATGGATACAAACATAGATAATATTTTTTAATTGTTTCTTTCCCGTTTCTCTTCATTTTATCTAGCACAAATAGAATTTGCAGTCCTTTTTGACAGTTTCACCTTTTGTCAGTTGCTTTCCATTAGATTCAACATTTTTAGATCCGGAAGTCTTCACAAAATTAACAATCTTTAATTCCTGGAGTCTTGGAATTCTTTACAATCTTGGATTCTTGGAATCCAGTTGGATTAATGGAATGTTTCATTGTTTCACACTAAACCCAAGCAAAGAAAACAAAGGAGTTTCCGTACACTGCTACTTCCTAAATTTTTAAAAGCCCCTTCCTAGCAACTCAACCTGCAAGCTTCAGTTTGGGTGTGTGGCAGTTATAAATGGCATTTCATAGGATGAAAGAGCGGAGCTGGGCTCCTGATTTCAGAACTGACCAGCCCTTTATCAGGGGAATACTAATAGGCATTGCTTGTTTCCTGCTGTGCAAACCTTCCGGACGTTGTTTGTTCAAAGCATTACCTGTCTTTGCAATTTCGATGGAAATGTTAAATATAGGGGTATGTCACTGTGGAATTTTGCCACATCTGTGAGCTAGAACAGCAAGTGAGATCATCATAGCAAAAATACTGTGATCAAAGTCCAGACCTACCAGCAGAGGCAGCCCTAATAACATCTGTTACCTGGTGCTGGGATGTCAGGTCCACAAAGGCACTGGCGGAAAGGGAGCGGGACTGACAGAAGTGATGAAGATGGTTTCAAAGTGCCTGTGGATTTGGGTTTTTTAGAGAGTCATGTTTTAGGAAATACTGATGAAGCCTGAGGATTTGCAAATGCCTGATGTTTCCACATACTGCTGACCACCAGCAGCACAACGAGCATGTTACACCCTTTAATGGTGGGCTACACCACTGCAGAACAGTACAAAAGCCACTGCCCACCTTGTTGTTGTTCCTCAGCTCACACGGTATTGTGAAAAAGCCGGTGAATGCAGCAGCTTACAACTGCAAGAGCAGGACGACGAGGAAGATCCACAGGCACTTTGTTTTAAGGTCTCGTGTTATTGAGCCTTTGGTGTTTGTCCTGCTCAAAGGCTGTAAAGTCTTGAAGGATTCTTGATGGTGAGACTCCAAAGATGGCCCGCACTGAGGCAAGTGAGCACAGCACTGCTTTGCCGAGAGACCCATTGTGTGACGCCGTTCGTTATCATTTCTTCACAGAGGCTTTGCAAATCTGGTGAGTAAATTTGGCAAGGAGGCAGAGCAGAGGTTTAGTGCTGCCAGAGCTGGTTTAGTGCTAACCGCTGTGGAGTTTTCCACCATGCCAGAGGGTCTCCAGATGGACTTTGCTGGCATCCAAGGAAGATGGATTACAGCTGAGAGTCTGTGCCTGTACTTCTAAGTGACCGATGGATGTGGCTAGAAGGAAAACATGGGGGTTTTTTGTTAAATTTGGAGTTGGTTTAGCCTCGTGCTTGCTGTCCTCATTTTCTGTTGCTATCGATGGGAGAAGAAAATTCTCAAAACGTTGTAAGCCTGATAACTCAAAGTTAAAACCGGCAGCTTAGAGGAAGATACAACAGAGAACAGCAGGCCATGTTGTACTACTGGATTTAACACAAAGCGCCTCATTAAGGCGATCAGGGAAAAATGGCAAGGTCTGTTTCTGGCTTAGGCCCATTCGGAAGTGTGAAGCCAAGGAGCATTC